TAAGTATGTACTGATAATTACTTGCAATTGGAAGTGGAAATTAGAAGCAAAGAAAAATAGGTATTTTGAAAATAAAGCATTGGTGAATAAAGTAATGATAGAATGTTAAGACCAAAGACCTATTTGGTGCAAATACCTTTTTTTTGGACTTCAACAAATGGAGTAGACGGGGATCAAATTGATTACATCTGTGGACAGCAGTGGTGGAGAAGCTCAGTGTCATTAGCCCCCAAAGGTTAGGAGCTGCAAGTTCAAGCTGAAGCTGAAGAAAATTAAAATAAGTTTACAGGAGCCAAAGTATAATCTTGTTTATCCCATAAGAATCCCATAAGAATACCATTTCAAAAATAGACTTTACGCAATGAAAATTAATGACCAACGAACAGAGTAGCTATGGGAAGATATCAAGGGCATCATACATAAAGAAAGTAAAAGATCATTTCAAAAGCAAGCAAGGAAGAAACGATTAAAATCGATGCCAGAAAGAGACTCTGACACTTGCTATGAAACATAGAGCAGCAAACGTGATTGGGGCCGCGTCGCGGGCGCGGGCGCCGCCCGCTCTTCCTCAACCTCGCCTGCCGGCTGCGGCGCGCGACCGCTGCGGAAGCCGCGACCATGTTTCGACGCAAGCTGACGGCTCTCGGTTACCACAACCCTGCCGGCTTCAACTGCAAAGATGAAACAGAATTTAGAAATTTCATCGTGTGGCTTGAAGACCAGAAAATCAGACAGTACAAGATTGAAGACAGAGGGAATTTAAGAAACATTCACAGCAGCGATTGGCCCAAGTTCTTAGAAAAGTATCTCAAAGATGTTAACTGTCCTTTCAAGATTCAAGATCGACAAGAAGCAATTGACTGGCTTCTTGGCTTACCTGTTAGACTCGAATATGGAGATAATGCTGAAAAATACAAGGACACAGTTCCTGATAATTCAAAAAATGCTGACAATGCAGCTAAAATTGCAGAGCCACTGGTCAACTTGGATGTAAATAACCCTGATTTCAAGGCTGGTGTAATGGCTTTGGCTAATCTTCAGATTCAGCGCCATGATGATTACCTGATAATGCTAAAGGCAATTCGAATTTTGGTTCAGGAGCGCCTGACGAAGGATGCAGTTGCTAAAGCTCATCAAACAAAAGAGGGCATGCCTGTTGCTTTAGACAAGCATAGTCTTGGTTTTGACAG